CAACACGGGAATTGTCCCTGATTCCAAATGGCCGCCAACTGCCACGCCAGTGAATGGAGCTGAAGCCAACACGCTGGGCACCATTTCCCTACAGTCTGTCTGCGTGGGGAAGGGAGGCTGCCCTTGAGAAAGCTGTCTGCCACCTTCCATTGTTTCCAATGAGACTGAAGCCAGGCCCACAGGCAATGTGGCTGTCACTGCATGCTTCAGGGGGCTGGGCCGGGCACAAGGACTGCGAGGAGCAGCAGAGGCCCTGTGATGGGGAGCGCAAGGGGGATCAGGAGTTTGATTTAGAGGTTGCAGGGGGATGGGGGGTGCAGGGAGAGGCAGAGGACAGTGATGGAGTGGGAGATGGACGGGATCCAATGGCAGTGCCCACAGCCTAGGGGGAGTGTTGGGGACGGGTAGCAGCCAGGGGAAGGACTGCCAACTTGCAGAGGGACTGTAGGATTCTGTCACAGGATTTCAGCACCTGCAGGAGGAGCTGTTGCTGTGACATGAGAAGTGCCTCTGATCCCGTGTTTTTCAGGGCTGGCAGAGCTCTGTGCGAGAGCCTCAGGGCTGAGGACACAGACCTGCCCTGCCACTAAGCCCTGCCTACATTTATGACCCTAGAGCAGAGAGAGGGTGCCGGGGTAGTGGGAGGCAAGGGAGGGAGGGCGTCAGGGCAGGGTGCTGCTGGGTCTGAGGGAGGGGAGACAAGACAGTAATAGGAAATGGCTGGCAATCCCCCATTTTAGGGGTGGGTGGAGTCTCCCTTTGAGCCACCAGGAAGAGAAGTACATTAAAGGCTCACTCTGTCCACCTGGTACACAGGCGCTGCCCCTTGTCCGCTGGCTACACGCAGACGCCGCCCCGCCGGCCTCTGTCCGCTGGCTACACGCAGACGCCGCCCCGCCGGCCTCTGTCCGCTGGCTACACGCAGACGCTGCCTTGTGGGCCTTTTTCCATAAGCAAAAGCAACTACAAACAGTAACTGCTAGAGTTAAATATTCTGAAGTCAGCGGGACCAGGTAGCTTGCATCCAATAGTCCAGTTTAAAAGATATTGGCTGAGGTGATCTCTGAAACGTTGCTATCCATTTTTAACAAACCTTGGAACCCCGGGAAAGTTCCAGAGGACTCGAAAATAGCTAATGTTGTGCCAGGATTTTAGAAAGGTAACTACAGGCCAGTTAGCCGGAGATCAATCAGTGAATAATTCAAGGCTTGCAGCATAATTAATAACCAACATGGTTTTATGGAAAATAGGTCTTGTCAAACAAACTTGATATTGGATGAGATAACAAGGTCAGCTGATCAAAGTAACTGTGTTGACGTAACATACTTAAAACAACAGGAGTTTTAATACTGCCAAATGTGCTCGGGGCGGGGGCAGCGCGTGGAGCCCGCCTAGAAGCCGGACCCACTGCTGGCCGCTTCCATGGTGCAACGTGGTGTCGAAACAGGTATGGACTAGCCTGCCTTAGCTGGGCAGCACCGCCGATGGGACTTTTAAGGTCCCAGTCGGCAGTGCTGACCAGAGCGACCCAGTACCTGACATGCCGTGACCCAATACTGGGTCCCAACCCGAACTTTGATAAACACTGCTCTAGTCTGTGCCATGCAGGAGGTCAGACTAGGTGGTCATGGTGGTCTGTCCCATCTGGCCTTATAACCTATGAATCTGATACTTTCCTCTCTATCAAAGCTGCCAGCCACAGGGGTTAGGAATAAAATACTTTGGCAGAGAAAGTTTCCCTCCTTATTTTTCAGACCAGTGATTATTAGGATATTCCAGAGTTCTTACCCAAAGTAGTTTTCCAGGCCATCTTCATCAGGAGAGCAAGCTCAGAGCTTACTCAGCAAGATCCATGGCTTTCACCTGGGCAGAAATAGTCAATGCATCCCATGAGGAGAGCAGCCTCCTGACACCTCTACATCCCTCCACCAAACACTGCAGAAGGGAGGTGGTGTCAGATGCTGCACTTGGTTACCAGCTTCTGTCCCGTTCTCCCTCAATGTCTCCTTCCCTTCTGACTCCACTGATCTGCTATGGATACAAACCAAAATCTGATAGGGCCCCCCAGGGAGCGCCAAGGGAGCAGCAGCAGTACCTGAACAATGAAATATCAAAAGGTAAATTTAAAAATGAGTGTGCAAAATTGTGGCACATAATTTGTCCATGAAATTACTGCGATTGCATATCCAAATGATCAGTTAGACATCTAACTGCCTATTTGCATGTACAAATTATTTGTGCACAGTTGTGCTTTCAGGTCTGAAATTTCGGGACTCATTAACAGCATCCTCACTGGTTATTAATGAAATAAGCTGACGACATCATAATGGATGCATAGAACAATAGTCTCCATGTGCAAGGGTCCATGTTTCAATTCACATGTGTTTGAGCCCCTGCATTTCGCAATGACTTTCTGGCTTCAAATGAACCCAAAACTTCGTCAAAATCATCAGGTTTCACCCAACCTCAAACTGATACAATGAGAATCTTCCAAGTTTTGCATGTCAAAGGGCCCAACTAACCTGGAATGAAACCCAGAGCCAGGAGAGCTGGCGTTGGGTTCAAGCTTCATAATTTGAGGGTGAAGATGTATAAAAAAAATCTGCCTTCGCCCTGGGATTCTGCCCCAGACGAGCGTAATATTTGACTAGAGGTAAATTGTGCAAGATGTAGGTGGAGGCTTGAATTTTGTCTCTTGCTTTGACTTCTCCCCCCTTCCCCCCACCAGTCCCGCCCAACTCTTCCCCTCCTGAGCCCCTGTCCCCATTGGCGGTATGAGCGGGCTCTTTTCTTGTCTTTCCTTTCTGCCTTGCTCTCATTCACTCACTTGTGCTGCCTGCACAAAAGGCATCAGCGGGAAATGATACGTTTCCATATAGCTGGACAGGCCGCTCAGCGGCCAAGTGAAAATTGCCCAATTTCACTCTGATGGTTGCGGTTGGATATGTTCCGTGCAGCCTGGCCGGGGCCAGAGAGAGCTGGCACACAATGAAGCACATGCAGGACAGAAGGAAAGAATTTCAAGGCCTGCTTCTGCCACCCTCATGCTGGTTAGCATCTTATACACCAGCAGGCCCTGTGACATCAGAGCAGCTCCTCACAGGTCAAGGGGAGTCACAGGGCAGACTCAGGCCCTAATGCAGACCTTGCATGTCACGTGGGACTCTCCACCATATTTGTGAGAGGAAAAGCAACTTTGCAGGCCAACCCTGACCAAGTGCCTTCTCCAGAGCAGAGTTCTCAAGGTGTTCCCTCCTTCTGCATCTGTAGCGTTAATAGTGTTGGGTGCTACATGTGCCGCTGGAAAGAAGCTATATCCCCTCAGAGCACAGGCATTATTGCTTTCCTAAACCCATCTACGGAGGCAGCGAAGGCGGGAGAAGCCATCCTTTCAGCAGTGGAGGAGACGCTAGCATCTTAGTGACTTTCTCAGTTGCTTAACAACAGCTCCTCAAGCTTGCTGTCACGCGTATGTGCTAGAATGCAGTTCTGCGCTGTATAAAAATGGCACCTCCTCCTTCCTCAGCAGATCTGCCCGCTCTGCAGAGCCAGGGTCCCAGCTGCTAGCTGCAGTCACTGAAAGAAGCGTTCACTGCTTTTAGTCCCTTTTGCCCTGCACAACTAACAGCCAAGAGCGAACGAGCGAGTCCAGGCCTCTTTGTGCAGCGCTGCTGATGGAGCTCCAGCGAGTCACTGCTCTGCAAACCTGCCCAACGCCATGGGGTTCGCAAGTGCAGCTTTGGCCTGCAAAACGTAGACTACTAATGATAATGCATGAGAAAAATTGGGTCTGAGCTTAGGCTGAGATTGCAGAGCTGGATCTTAGAGGAGCCACCTTTTTGCTTGTAAACCGAGCATATTTTCAGAGTCACTGGTCAGATCAGAACAGCATTTTCAGGCAGCGTGGTGCAGCATCTCTGGAAAGCCACGCAGGCGCCTCCTGCGATGCTCAATTTCAGCATTCATACCTAGAGTTGGTGTGACTGGCGCCAGGAGGATCAGCCAGTGCAAAGGGGTCCTCTGACGTTGTAGAGCCAGCAGAGGCACTGCTATTCCTCTTTCATCTGCCGGCGTGGCAGGGAGAGGGACATGTTCGAAGGAAAGGGAGCATGGGACACTAAACTACCGCCCCCCTCGCCCCCCGATCCCTGACTTGGGTTTTGATTCCTTTAGTTTTGTGTTTGGGTCAGAGCTGCCTTCAGGCAATACCGTCTCTGCAGGAAGGACCACGTGGCAGCAGGAAGAGGATAGTGAGCACGAAGATGAACTCTAAGCCAGTGGTTCTCAACTAGGGGTCCGGGGCCCACTAGGGGGGGCCGCCAAGCAGGGCTGCCATTAGACCTGCTGGGGCCCAGGGCAGAAAGCCGAAGCTCCATCACCTGGGGCGGGAGCCCAGGGCTCCCAAGTCCCACCACCCCGGGGCTGAAGCCGAAGCCTGAGCAAGTTAGCTTCACAGGGCCCCCTGTGGTGTGGGGCACCAGGTAGTTGCCCCGGTGGCTACCCCCTAATGCCGGCCCTGGCTTTTATAGGCAGAACAAGCAGTTGTTGTGGCACAGGTGGGCCGTGGAGTTTTTACAGCACTTTGTAGGGGGAGGGGGGCTCAGAAAGGAAAAGGTTGAGAACCCCTGTTCTAAGCCACAGCTCCAACTTCGGATGCACAGCACAGGCAGAGGCCCAGATCTGCCCCAAATCCAGCCCCACAGGTGTGCTCTGGCAGAGGAGTGCTGTCCTTGGCCCTTCTGGGGAATCCGCTTGCAAGTGGCAGTGGACGGGTGACCTAACGTTGGGGCTGCAGCTCTGAACCGCCCAGAACGGAGGAAGGGGATGGTGTTTAAAGCAGGGTTTGGGGGCTAGGCCTGTCTGGCACTTAGAGTGAGCCCAGAACAGGGCCCAGCTCTTGTCCCCTCTTCGCAGAGACCCAGGATGTGGTTTGTGCAGGAGCTGAAGGCGTGTGAGGCCTCCTAGCTCATGTTTCACTCCCGCCTCTCTTGTCTTTTCAGATGCGCTGGCTCCCTCCCTCAGAGGCTGCTTCTCAGGGCTGGAAGTCCCGTCAGTTCTGCTGAATACTGTGTAAGTGTACGGCTCTGCGTGGGCTTCACTTCCCCGGCACCAGCTGGAGGCAATGGCTCCTTCTAGCAGTCACTGCGGGCAGGCGAGGAAGGGGTGTCCTGCCATAGCAGAATTCACGTCGCTGCCCCTGGCTCTGCTCCGAGTCTATAGGCGTGGGAGGAATGTCGGTATCTCATGACGCATCCCCAGACCCTTTCCCGGCCATGGCTGATTGTACGTATCTCATCACTCCACTACGTGGATAATTCACACGGAGGGCGTTGTAGCAGCTTCTCCTCTAAAGCTTGGCCTCATGGGAAGAGTGTTATGGAGTTTGGGGGAGACCAGGCCCGGCACCCCCGGCTTCCTGCGATTCACCGTGACTCAGCCAGACGGTAGAACAGAAGGTTTATTAGACGACAGGAACACGGTCCAAACCAGAGCTTGTAAGCATAAACAGGACCCCTTAGTCAGGTCCTTCTGGGGGGGTAGGGATCTTAGACCCCAGCCTTGGGGTTCCCTCCAATTCCTCAGCCAGCCCAAAACTGAAACTCCACTGCAGACGTCTCATTCCCACCCCCCCCGGCTCCTCCTCCAGCCTTTGTCCAGTTTCCCGGGCAAAGGTGTCACCTGGCCCCATCCCCCTCCCAGCTCAGGTATCGTCCCTCAAGTAAAGTCTCCCCCGGCTATTCTATTCCCCATGCAGACAGTCCCAGTAAAACTAGACGACATTCCCAGGTCAGTCCGCCCCGCTCCCTACTGCGTCACAGAGAGGTCCTACGTTCCTCTCCCTTGCTGTCACCGTCTGACAAAGCGATTCAGTGCCCGCAGCTGGCATTAGGGGTGGGTGACAGAGCCTGGGGCACCGAAACTGGAGCTTGAAGGCAGTCGCTGGACAGTGCTGTTGGAGTGGCTGTGATGCCATTTGTTCGGTACAAGGCTGCCCCTCAGGAGCGGAGCCAGGAGGGGATACACTGGCTGCAAGGGAGGGTGCTGCACATGGAAAGACAAGATGTGTGTGTGTGTGAAGGCAAAAGGGCGAGGGTTGGGCTCTGCGGGACATGTGGAGCCCATAAGCCGAACCACATCAAAGGGACGGACAGGGAGAAAATGCCCTAGGTCGGTCGAGTGGAAGGCCAGAAGGAGGCTGCAGGTCTAGTCCGACCTGCCTGGCCTAGGCTGTATCCTTCACTCAGGGGCTCCTCCCTGTGGCTGCCCTAGGGCAGATCATTCAGAGCGCTCCCGCGTGCTCAAGGAAAGCGTGGTTTTTTTCTAAACGTTGACTGTGAATCTCTCTCCTTCGGGTGCATGTTTAGCTGAACAGAGCGCTGGCGGGCTCTGCTGCTGGAGGGACTGGTTTCGCCTCCGTCCGGCAGAGATGGCGAACATTTTCCTTCCCCGTTTCTTTGTGTTTCTGTCACACCCCCTGGAGAACAGGGCCCCAAACGATTACAGCTGAACTAACTAAACCCAACAGGCCACTCTTAGCTCCGTCATTCCCAGCCTGGCTTTGTCAGAGCCCCCAGTGCGATAGCTGGGTGGCTGGGTACCCTGACCCCACAGCCCTTGTGCCCCATGCCCCCTGGCAGACTCACCCTGCCTCTCCCGATGTCTGGCCTGGCCATGCGCTCTCCTGTCCCTTGTTTTCTCTTTCTAGTCTTATCCCCCCGCCATTCCTTGCTCTCCCTGCGGCCCAAGGGCTCAGGACACAGGCTGTGCCCGCAGAGCTGGAGCCTGGCACCCTATTGGCACTAGCTGCTCCAGGCCCAGCTGTGCTGGGGCCTCCTGGAGCAGGGAGGGGAGAGGATTGCAGATGCTACCCACAACTCTGGCCACAGGAGCATGTTTGTGCTGGGGAGTCATCATGGATTCAGGGTCCTGCCCAGACACCACTGCTCATCTCCTCGGCCCTGTGCCCCACAGTGCCATGCTGGCAAGGCACAGATTGGTGGGTTTGGTGCTGTGGCCGGGCTGTATTGGGAGCAGTCTCTCAGAGCTGGTAGCAGTGGGCAAGGACCTTCACAGATCCACCCACAGAGATGTCTCACACTGGCTATCAGCTCCGTTGAGTGTGGCCTGGAGGTGACTAGCAAGGGCTTCCAGGGGAGGCTGGAGAACATGACATGGTGTCTGGGTGGCTCAGTGCAACGGCTCCGGCTTGTGCGCTCATGCCCAAGCATTCCTCATTCACAAGACGTGGCTCATTGTAGGCACCACGTTCCCTACGTGCCACACAAAGCTGGGGTCCCGTCATCACGTTCCTTGTTGGGAACGGCCTATCTCAGCACTGCAGGAGCCCACAGCTGCGGTCACAGAGAGGTCTTGCAGTGCTCGGCACCTCTGGCCTGAGTCGTCTCTCTTGTTGTGGGGACCTTGTGCCCACGGCAGGCCCTGGCACGCTGAGGGGTGCCCCACATGCTGCTGCCCTTGTCTATTGCTGACATTTGTGGGTGGTCCCTCATGCAGGTGTATGCGGGAGAGATTCTCCCTGATAGTGGCCCCAGCACTGACTGATGGCACCTCTGGCAGTGCACAGCCGAGGGCAGCTATCTGAAATACCCAGGCGACCAAGCAGGCCCAGCCCCAGACAGCAGGTCTGTCAGTGCCAGTGGAGCTTCTAGCTACTCACCAGTGTGCATAGGGAGTAAATGGCACCAGGAAACTGCCTTTTACCAGCTTCATCATGTTTGGGTGTCCTGTCGCCTGCTGGTAGGACATGCTGTGGTCTCACTGATGCCCTCCCAGTGACTGCGCCAATCCTCAGCACATTCTCCTTGTCCAGCTGATTCCCATCTCAGCAATACTGCATCTTACTGGACTTGAAAGTGCCTGCAGTCTGCACCCCTCTCAAAACCATCTCTGCTAAGAAACCAGGGGATATACTTCATTTAGAGAGAGACAACCCTAATAAGCTGGTATTTTCTCAGCCGAAAGAATGGCTCAGTCACACTGCCACTGACCATTCTGCAGGGGTAGTCAAAGCTGTAACCCAGACTCATTCAGCGTGGCACTGAACTATTCAGCAAATCTTCCAGAAGCCTGGCCTCAAGTCACCTGTAGACAACATACACCACACGTCTGAAGATCCTTGTGTGCATACGCAGAGAGGTGGGATCACCTCTGCCTAGGACATTAGTGAGACCATTACTGGTTACTGTGTCCCACGCCGATGTCTCTCACTGCAAAAAGGATGCTGAGAAATTGGAGAGGGTTCAGAAAAGAGCAACATGAATGATCAGCACTCTGGAAAAACCTGCCTTCGGAGAAATCCTAAAGCAGCTCAGGCCTTTTAGTTCATTCAAGAGACGGTTGAGAAGTGACTATCACAGTCTGCAAGTACCTGGATAGGGAGGAGCTTTCTGAGAGCAGAGGACTCTAACCTACAGACCAAGGCAGAACGAGATCCAACAGCTGGAAGTTGAAGCTCGACAGTTCGGACTGGAAATAAGGGGCAAATGTTTAACTGGGATGGTGATTAACTGCTGTAACGAAGTACCAAGGGACGGGGGGGATTCTCCAGCACTTGACGTCTGTCTCTCTGGACTCTCTTTCTAAAATATATGCTCTGGCTCAAACGAAGTTATGGGCTGGATGCAGAGATGGCTGTGTGAGGTTCTCTGGCCTGTGCTGGACAGGAGGTCAGGCTAGATGATCACAATGGTCCCCTTCTGGCTTTGGAATCTCTGAATCTAAAAGTGCCTACAGAATACAGCTTGCACAGATTCTCCACAAAGAAGAAAGCAAGGAGGCTCCATTCTCCCTGAAATGCATAGATCCTTCCTTACGCTCTACAACATGCATGTCCAAACACAACAAAAATGTCTTATTAAAAGTTAATGAAAACTCCCTTGGCAGCAGATCAGGTCAGGGTCCATAAATGGAAAACACATGTGGTTACTGAGCACAGATTACCACAGCACAGGGGGGAGTTTATTTTATTATACAAATGTACTCTCTTTTGATGCAATCCGTCCTGGAAGAGAAGTTAGAGAAGATACAGTCTGTAAATATTGCAGCCATTTGTGAATAAATAAACTGTGGAAATTAAAACAAAAAGTAAAACCACTAGGCCAGTAGCAGTGCTAAGCCCTAATGCATCTACCCAACTGTTCCCAGGCGTCACCCACTTTCACAGCACATCAGTCTAAGCTCCTTGTGATTCTTGACATGCAGCTCAGATAAAAGGGTTCAACAGTCTTCTCACCATACACATGTCGAGGTCACCCACCACTGCTAGCTCCTGGAGTCAGGGCGGACTGTCCCTCCCAGTGATACGGGCTATAGCCAGACAGCCTCCCCCTTTCCCTCACACTCCCCACTAGTTGTGCATTTGAAATATAAAGCTCAATAACGGTGACTGTCACAAATAAAACCCGGGGATACATTTCTTAAGGCAGCTCAGCGAACGCTGTCACATCTGGCTAGCTGTGATGTTGTATGTAATGTCCAACTGAGCACCTGCACATGTCCTCAGTGAGAGATTAGTGCCTAGCAAAGGGGCCAGGCTGGCAGGGCTAGATCCCTCCATCCTCTGCTCAGCCACAGCTCTTCACTAGCGGCAAGCACCTCCTGCCCCATCACTGGGCTGCAAGCCTCTTCTGAGGCCCTGCTCTCCCACTCTGATCATAAAATCATAGAATCTCAGGGTTGGAAGGGACCTCAGGAGGTCATCTAGTCCAACCCCCTGCTCAAAGCAGGACCAATTCCCAACTAAATCATCCCAGCCAGGGCTTTGTCAAGCCTGACCTTAAAAACCTCTAAGGAAGGAGATTCCACCACCTCCCTAGGTAACCCATTCCAGTGCTTCACCACCCTCCTAGTGAAATAGTGTTTCCTAATATCCAACCTAAACCTCCCCCACTGCAACTTGAGACCATTGTTTCTTGTTCTGTCATCTGCCACCACTGAGAACAGCCGAGCTCCATCCTCTTTGGAACCCCCCTTCAGGTAGTTGAAAGCAGCTATCAAATCCCCCCTCATTCTTCTCTTCTGCAGACTAAACAATCCCAGTTCCCTCAGCC